CAAATTTTTTAAGGAAAAAAAAAAGCAGAGGGAGCACACATTCTTTGGGAATCTTAAAAGAGGATCCCTTTGTATCCTAATGCCTAGGAGAAACTTGATCTCCAGCCTCCAAATCTGATGTTTCCAACTCTCCCTGGCTCTAAATTGTGTGTGTGTGTGTGTGTGTGTGTGTGTGTGTGTGTGTGTGTGAATATACATATAACCTCAATTTGCCATGTTAATGGGAAAACTCACTACAGGTAAAAAGTATTCAATGTAACTCATTATTAAATAAAAACAATAAACTAGGTATACAAACAATGTCTCAACTTCATTTTTAAGTCATTTTTAACAATCTATTTGTATTTACTTAACTGGAGAAAACTCAAATGTATTTCCTTTAATATTTTGAACAACACAAAGATGCCTCAATAACCACTTTTTTTTCCATGTCTTTTTTGAGGGGTACGGGAACCATAGTTTGAGCCCAGGGACAATCAACCACACAGCCACATCCCCAGCTTTTTTAAATTGTCATTTTGACACAAGGCCTCACTTAAGTTGCTGACACTGGCTTTCAACTTGCAATCAATCCTCTTGCTTCAGTCTCCCAAGCCACTGGGATTACAGGCAAGTGCCACCACACCCAGTTTGTTAATTATTTAACTTGTTGATATATTCTAGACATTAATCCCTTTTCAGAAGAGTAGCAGCCAAATAATTTCTTCCATTCTGTAGGTTCTCTTCCTGCTCTTGTTTCCTCTGTTGTGTGGAAATTTTTTGATTCAAGGCTGTCTCAATTACTGATTCTGGCTTCATTTCTTGAGTTTTAGAAGTCTTATTAAGGAACTTGGTGTCTGCATCAATATGTTGGCATATTGACCCTAAAAGGGGATATCATGAAAATAGAGGGAGTCAACCTACTTTACATACAAACTGAGATATGAAAATTACAGTATATACGTATAATAAGAATGGTAATGAAAAAAAACAGATACATGTATAAAGACATGAATTGGCATGAACATACTTTATTCAAAGATATGAAAAATTGTGTTCTCTATGTGTAATAAGAACTGTAATACATTCTGCTGTATTTGAAAAAAATCAATAAAAAATAATAAATAAATGCTAAAAAAAAGAAAATAGAAGGAATAATACTGGAACCAGGGGTGATGATGCACACTTATGATCCCAGCAACTCAGGGGACTAAGGCATGAGGATCCCAACTTTAGGTCTGCCTCAGCAACTTAGCAAAACCCAGTCTCAAAATAAAAAAAAAACAAAAGGACTGAGGCGGTAGCTCAGTAGTAAAGCATCCTTAAGTTCAATCTCCTAGACTATGGAGAAGAAAAAGGAGAAATAAGACTGGAGTAGAAGTAAGGGGTCAAGGGAAAGGAAGGAAAGATGGAGAAAAGGAGGAACTGTGAAATGAAATTGAGCAAACTGTGCTATGGACGTGTGTAAATATATCACAATGAACCCCGTGGTTTCATATAACTAAAATGCACCAATTAAAAAGACAATAAACAAATAAACAGAAGTCAGAGCAATAAAGGAAGGGGGCCAGGAAAAAAAGAGGAGAGCAGGAAAAGGGAAAACTGGGAATTTAAATAGATCAAATTATAACATATTCATTTATATGAATGTCAAAATGAACATTATTATGTGTAACTATAATGCACTAATAAAAACATGTAATGGAGATATACACACTGGGAAGAAAGAAGAAGTTTTCATTATATGGATATATTATGGTCTATGTAAAATCTTATAAAATAGAGATTAATTATTAAAATTAATAAACATTATTATAAGGTTGCTGACTCATCATTATATAGAAATCATTGCATTTCTATGCACCAACAACCAACACACATATAACTTTAAAGGATATCACTTTATTATGGCATCTAAAACTATCAAATATCTAGGAATAAATGAACTATATATATGTATTTTATGGAGACAAATTATAGAACTCTATTGAAATCTATTAAAGAAGAGCTAGTAATGAAGACATAAATCAATGTTCATGACTTGAAACACTCAATTTCTTTTAGATGTCCATTCCCCTAAAATTGTTAATCAAACAAGAGAGACAGAGTGGAAACAAATCAGACACTTAATGAGAGAAAGGAAAGGAAAGACTGTCACTAAGTGGGCAGTATGACTTTTTCATTGATTATGTTCTGTGCCTTTATAACACTCCAGGTCCAAATTACTTTGGTTTTATTCTTGGTCATTACAACTCCACACAAACTTTAAAATTATCTGGCAAATTCCACAAAACAAATATACCTTTTGACAGCACCACATCAGAATTGCACTAAATCTATAGGACAATATAAAAATTTTACATGGACAATGTCTATAGATAATGATATCATTAGCAATGAGTCAAGAAGCAATCAACTCACCTCAAAACAGAAACTGAGACTAGCTAGAGGTGAAGCAATCAATTTTATCTAAACTACCATAGTTGGAAGAACTGAAGAGAGCAAAATTTAAAGTGTTTGCTGAGGCAAAGCTCAAGAATGGAAAAATACTAGAGGGCAAGGCAGCTGACTCAGAGAATGGATTCTCACACAGTTTATCTTTTTCAACATTCCTATGCCTTTTTATGGTTGGCCGGCTTCCAGGGCAAGGTGGTCATTGTTCAAAATCTGGTTTAACTCCTTGGAATTTATTGCTTCTTGGAATTTATGGCAACTATTTGCTTTTCTGCATTCCTAGAACTACCTTTAGGCACAGAAGTTCAGTTCAAAGTTCATGAATGGAAAATTATGTATTTACATAATATGAAAAAATAATATGTGGTATAAGGACTCTACCTTATACCACAAAGTAATTTTCAAGTAGCTTAATGATTTAAATGTGAAAGGCTAAACTACAAAACTTATAGAAGACAATATAGTAGAATTCGTTTATGACTTTGAGGTAGAAAAGGATTTCTTTTTTTGGGGGGTGGAGTACTGGGGATTGAACCCAGGGGCACTCGACCCCTGAGCCACATTCCAGCCCTATTTTGAATTTTATTTAGAGACAGGCTCTCACTGAGATGCTTAGTGCCTCACTTTTGCTGAGGCTGGCTTTGAACTTGAGATCCTCCTGTGTCAGCCTCCCAAGCCACTGGGATTACCATTGAAAAGGATTCCTTAGACACAAAAAACACTAACATAAAGGAAATGATTGCAAAACAGCACCACATTAAAAGAACTATTTCTTTTGTAAACATATTTTTAGCTGTACATTAACACAATACCATTATTTATTTATATGTGGTACTGAGGATCAAACCCAGTACCTCACATGTGCTAGGCAAGTGCTCTACCACTGAGCCACAAACCCAGCCCCTAAAGAACTATTTCAACTCATCAAAATACATCATATCAAAGTGAAAATACAATTCTCAAATTGCCAGAAAGTATTTTCCATATGTATATCTCATAAAATATTAGCATACAGAATATATAAGGAATAAGCAAATCTATTAGCAGAAATTCCATAGAAAAGACAACTTTTCAGCATTCAATATAATTTCTAAAGTTATTAATATTAAAAAACAGCCTTCATAGAAGTGATAATGTCCATTTCTATTGTTTTCAGAATTTACACATTCATGTATTCTGAGAATTGTCTATGCACCAGGCTTGACCTTGGATTCTGGAGAGAAAGTGATCAATAGTGGAGGCCCTGTCCCCCCCCCAAAAAAAAGGAAGACAATTGATAAACACATGAAAAAGTCTTCAGTCTCATTGGCTATCAGGGAAATACAATAAAACAATAGGATGTAATGTCTCATCCACTGAGTTGGCAAAAAATTAAAAGGCTGCTTATATTGCCTGTTACTGAGGTTATAGGACAATGGTATGATGACTTAGGGAAACTGGCATTGTATCATAACAAGTTATGTTCACTTACTCTTTGACCACCTGTTTAACAACAGGGTATGTTCCTTTGAGAAATTTGCACACGTGTACTGATAGCAGCTTTATTTAGAATAGATAAAACCCCAGAAGCAATATAAATGTCCTTCTACAGGTAATAGTCTAAAGGGTAGAGTTCTTTTCATGTCACAGGATATTATACAGAATGAGTTAAAATGGGCTGACTATAATTACAAGCATCTACCATGCATGAATCTCAAAACATAATGGAAGTAAAAAAAGAAAATTGGCAATAGAGTAGAAGGTGACAGAGGCCCCAGGCCAACATCATTCTAAATGGAGAAAAATTGAAAGCATTCCCTCTAAAAACTGGAACAAGACAGGGATGCCCTCTTTCACCACTTCTATTCAATATAGTCCTTGAAACTCTAGTCAGAGCAATCAGACAGAGGAAAGAAATTAAAGGGATATGGATAGGAAAAGCAGAACTCAAATTATCACTATTTGCTGATGATTCTATACCTAGAATATCCAAAAAGTACACCAGAAAATTTATAGAACAAATAAGTTCAGCAAAGTAGCAGGATATAATATCAACACCAATAAATCAAAGGCATTTCAGTACATCAGTGAGAAATCCTCTGAAAGACAAACTAGGAAAGCTACCCCATTTACAATAGCCTCAAAAAAAAAAAAAAACCCTTGGGAATCAACTTAGTGAAAGGGGAAAAAGGCCATTACAATAAAAACTACAGAACACTACAGAAAACAATAAAAAAAGACCTCAGAAGATGGGAAGATCTCCCTTGTTCTTGGATATGCAGAATTAATATTGTCAAAATGATCGTACTAGCAAAAATAGTATACAGATTTAAAGCAATTCCAATCAAAATCCCAATGACATCCCTCATAGAAATAGAAAAAACAATCATGAAATTCATCTGGAGAAATAAGAGACCCAAGATATTTAAAGCAATCCTTACCAAGAAGAGTGAAGCAGGTGGTATCACTATACCAGGCCTTAAACTATATTACAGAGCTATAGTAACAAAACAGCATGGTATTGCCACCAAAACAGGCTGGTAGACCCACGGTACAAAATAGAGGACACAGAGACTAACCCACATAATTACAATTATCTTATATTAGATAAAGGTGCCAAAAACACATATTGGAGAAAAGATAGCCTCTTCCACAAATGGTGCTGGGAAAACTGGAAATCCATATGCAACAAAATGAAATTAAACCCCTATCTGTCACCATGCACAAAACTTAACTCCAAATGATCAAGGACCTAGGAATGAAACCAGAGACTCTGGGTCTAATAGAAGAAAAAGTAGGCCCTAATCTTCATCATGTGGGATTGGGCCCTGACTTCCTTAATAAGACTCCTATAGTGCAAGAATTAAAACCAAGAATCAATATATGAGATGCAATCAAACTAAAAAGTTCCTTCTCAGTAATAAGAAACAATCAGTGATGTGAAGAGAGAGCCTACATAATGGGAGAAAATTTCTACCTCATGCACCTCGGATAGAGCACTAATCTCTAGGATATATAAAGAACTCAAAAAAACATAACACCAAAAAAAAAAAAAAACAACCCTATCAATAAATGGGCCAAGGAACTTAACAGATACTTCTCAGAAGAGGATATACAATTAAACAACAAATAGGTGCCCTTCAGTAGATGAATGGATAAAGAAACTGTGGTTTTATTACTTATTGAATATTACTCAGCATTAAGAGAGAATAAAATCATGGCTTTGCAGGTAAATGGATGAGTTGGAGAATATTATGCTAAGTGAAGTTAGCCAAACCCAAAAAACCAAATGCTGAATGTTTTCTCTGATATGAGAATGCTGATCCATAGTGGGGTGGGAGGGGGAGCATGGGAGGAATGGAGGAACTTTAGATAGGGTAAAGGGGAGGGAGGGAAGGGACAGGTCAGGGGGTAGGAAAGATGGTGGAATGAGATGGACATCATTACCCCA